AATACAAGTGCCTACTAAGTGCCAGACACTGTTCTCCCAACAGTACCAGGTACAACGCTGACACTTAGTAGATTGTTCCTCAAATATTCTTTAATTGGTTATCTTGTCTTATATGTTGGGATCCACGATCGGCCCCCTCATTTCAAATCAAACTCCTTGTCATCAGTGGCCTGTGGTCACCTTAGGGCTTCAGCTTGGGCCCATACTGGAAGTAGCTCTAGCTCTGTACAAAGGTCTGTCTTCAAAAAATTCTCTGTGGGAGCCAGACACTGTGCCTTCTTATCACACACATACTGGGATTACCACAGGCGGACCCTCTCCCTCCTGACCATCTTCTCCCTGTTCCAGCCCATCTGCTGGCCCTGACCTGTCCTAGCTCCACATCTCTGACCACTCCATCCCGGGTCTAGGTCCTGGCATCCTCCTGGGGAAGGAAATTGTCATGGTCTGAGTAGCCATTAATAGCCACGCCTGTAGTGGCTCACGCCTGTAATTCTAGCACTTTGGGAGGCCAGGGTGGAAGGATTGCTTGAGCCCAGGAGTTCAAGAACTGCCTCGGCAACATAGAGAAATCACATCTGTACAAAAAAAAAATTTTTTTTAATTATCAAGGCGTGATGGCATGTGTCTGTATTTCCAGCTACTTGAGAGGCTGAAGTGGGAGGATTGCTGGAGCCCAGGAAGTCGAGGATGTAGTGAGCATGATTGCACCACTGCACTCTAGCCTGGGTGACACAGCAAGACCTTCCCTCAAAAAAGGAAGATACCTGCTTTGCTAGTTCCATGGACAATGTTACTAAATACACAACACCACAGCCTGGGAGGTAGATGCCATCATCAGTCCCGTTTCACAGATGAAGAGACCAAGGTGTAGGGAGGTTAAGCAATTCGCTACAAGGTCCAACAGTTAGCAAATAGCAGCAGTAGGATGGGGGCATAGGCCTCTGCTCCAAAGGCCTTTCACCCAGTCACCTCTGAAGTATAAATTCACAGGAGAGCATCAAACTGCTGTTTATTTTGGGCGTGGAAGATGGGGAAGTGCATGTGTGTGTGCACCTGCATGTGTGTAAGGGAGGTGGGGAGAGATGAGGAGAAATAAGAGGGAGAAATGCAAAAGCCAAACACAAATATCATCAAAGAAGGGGAGGAGGGAGCCTGAGCTGGAAGACCCGGCATCAGACCTGCTCCTCTGAGGAAATGGTGCTGCGGAAAGGCGGCCTCCTCAGCATTTGGTAGACTTGTCTCCAAAAGCCTTCATCTCCACGGCCTTCTCCGTAGGAGCTGAGGGCAGTGAGAGAAGCACTGACCCATACATCTTTGGGAGGTACATCATTTTCTGATTTGTCAGTACTTCCTTCCAAAAATGGTCCTAAAAAGTAATGAAATAAATGTTGGTGTTTGGTAGGAAATGCCTTGGCAAGGGAACTGCGTGTAACGCAATGTTTAATTTGAACCACTACATTCTAATCCTTGGAAACACAGTGATTCCAGAAGGCCTGCAATACAAGGTCCATGTTCTCTAGCTGGCATATAAACAGTGGAAGGAAAGCCACAAATAAAAAAGTAAAAATGTACTTGGTGCATACAGCAGCTAAGATGCAGAAAGCTTACCTACTAACAATGATTATAAAAGCTTAAAAAGCTCGAGACTATAGATTCTTGCTTTTTTTTTTTTTTTTTACTTGTGACATAGGTGTTTTGTTATCATCATTATAATCTATATTATTACTATTATGAATAGTATATACCTACTCATTATATATATGTGTGTGTATATATACATATATATTTTGACATCTCACACACACATATACACATATATATGATGATATCATACCATAATATTCTGCAGCTTGATTTTTTTCCACCTAAACCTATACTGGGAATACTTTTATAAAATAGATTTAGGCTATTCTTTCGTGAAGTGGCATGAATTCAATTGCATGGACATTGGTGTATTCTTAGTTCTATTTTCTGCCACTACACACCAGTTGGAACTGGATCATCAAGGTGTGGGAGAAGGCAGCAGGGGAGTTGAAAAGTTTCCCTGCCAATACTGAATGTGGTCCATCCTCTCCTCTCCTCATCTGCCTGAAGGCAGAGATGAGGGGAAAAGTAAAGAGAAAGGGAGGTGGTCACAATGGAAATCTAAGGCAAGCGAGTATTCTGGAAAGTCTGGCATGCCTTTAGAATTCCAGCTCACCACCCAAAGAAATCTGAGATGTTTTTGTGCGTCTGAAAGACTTCACGATAAAGAAGGGAAAATCTGGGATGTTACTCTATATCTCCCTTTATTTTCTTCTGTCCTATTTCAGCTTCTTGTGATCATAGTTTTAAAAAGCTTGTTTTAGAAAAATAAAACTGCTAGAAAAATAATGCAGTGTGTCCATAGGAAAAGGCAAGTGGCTTTTGTAGATGCCTGTTGTATAAGATGCTTACAAGCACAGACACAATAGCCCTGTGAGGCAGATACTACTTGCATTATTTCCATGCATCAGTGCACTTGATGAGAGGTGGAAAAGGAGCCCAGACCACCTGGGTTTGAATGCCAGCTCTCCCTCATACTAGTTGGATGGCCTTGGGCAAGTTTTGGCACCTCTCTGAACCTCAGTTTCCTCTTCTGTAAAATGAGGATGATAAAAGTATCTACCCCATAGGGTGGTTGTGAGCTGAAATAAGCTTTAATGTATTAAATACTCACAGTGAGGCCCAGCACTCCATAAACCCTCCAGAAGGCAGAGTTGTGTAGGGTGAGCTCAGAGTCTGAAAGGCTCAGTCTGGAATACTAGCTATGCCACTTGGGAGCTCTGAGATCTTAGGTAAGGTACCTTAATTATTTAAGCCTTGGTTTTTCTACCTGTACATTGGAATGCTCATCATATCTACTTTCCAAGGCTGTTGGAAATACCAAGTACAAAAGGTACAGGTACATAAATAATGCATTTAATAACTGCCTTGCAAAACCATTGAGAATATTAAGCGCAATCATGTGTGTAAACCGTGTAACTCAGTCCTCATAGTAAGCAATTGTATTTTTAGCCATTCTCATCATTACCAAAAGAATCAGACCATCTAAGAATTGCCTCATTGCATCAGTATGTTGGTCTTTCCAGCCGTTAGTTAGAGCTTCAGCAGGGACACAGGGAGGTAGCTGTGGAAGAAAAAGAAGTGAGAGCCACTTGTGTCTAAGAGTCCCTTGGGAAGGTCTTAGCTACCCGGTAGAAATGACAGTTCTTCCTCAACCGCTGTTGTCTGATACGGCGTACAGAGGACCAGGCCCTCAAGCCAGCTGACCTAGTTCAAGGCCTGGTTCAGCCTTTCACTAGTGGTGCAGAAGAACTCTGGGTAAGTTCTTCCAGCTCCGTCTTAGTCTCCTAATGTTAAGATGAGGATGCAAGAGTGCCTACCTCATAGGGTTGTAGTGAGTGCTCAGTGAGCTGATGCATCCGGGTCATAGCGAGTACTCCATACTTGCTACCTCTTACTACCGGAGCCATTGAGTGGTCAACGGGACCCACCTCCAACTGCTGCAAAATGATGAAAATGAATTCTCCAGTGTTGAGTCCCAGGTTGTCTGCAGCCTGCAGAATAATATTTTTATCCTCTGAGCTGCAGATTAAGATGATAACTATAAGAATGAAAATCAGAGTCAGCCAGTTGCACATGCTCGTGTATGTGTGCGCTCTCACGCATGCTCTCACTGTCTCTAATTCTAGCCTAAAGCCACTGTAAAAGAGACATGAACTTTTTCTTTCCTTGGGCATGTTTTAGGAAACAGGAATGCCTAAACTAGTCCCTGAGGTTTTACTTCTTTAACCAAGCCTGCAGTGTACAAACTAGCAGCTATAGCACTGAAGTCTTTACTGCAGCCTCCTCACAATGTACAAGTCAAAAAAGTTTGAGATCACTTCTGTGCTCTAGGTTTTTTCTTCCTTTTGGCTCAAAAATCAGAACAGCAGACCTGGCTTGTGACTTGTCAGCCACACCTCAATTAAGATGAGTTCACAAAGGACCTAGAATCAAGGGCATTTGGACTTTCTGAGCTGGGCTGGCCAGAGGGAGGAGTAGGCCGTGGTACTTTTCTGCCATTTAATCACATCACTGTTCATTTTCAGAATATACAAATGAAGTAGTGGGTTTTAATTATTTATTTATTTATTTTTGAGACACAGTCTCGCTCTACTGGCCAGGCTGGATGGAGTACAGTGGCATGATCTTGGCTCACTGCAACCTCTGCCTCCTGGGTTCAAGCAATTCTCATGTCTCAGCCTCCAGGATAGCTGGGATTACAGGCGTGCACCACCACACCTGGCTAATTTTTGTATTTTTAGTAGAGACAGCATTTCACCATGTCAACCAGGCTGGTCTCCAACTCCTGGCCTCGAGTGATCTGCCCGCCTCAGCCTCCCAAAGTGCTGGGATTACAGGCGTGAGCCACCACACCCAGCTAGTTTATTTTTTAAATGAAGTAAATTATAGTCGATTTATCTGAGCTCCAATGTTGTGTCAGGCACTGTGCTGGGCACAGATATAGCAGTGAACGAGCCATCAGACAGACAGCATACAAGTGAACAGATTAAAGAGATCACTGAAGATTCTAATTAGTGAGGTTGGAAATGGATGCTGTGATGGTAATGGGTGGGGAGGGGAAGCAACTTCACATCGCGTCATTAGAGAAGGCCTCCCTGAGGAGGTGGACTCTGGACCCAGTCAGCAATGATGCAAGGATGAGAGGAAGCTACCCTCAAGAAGGTGCTGGGTAGGCTGGAATGTGACTCAGACCACATAAGAATTGCCTCATTGGATCAGTATGTTGGTCTTTCAAGCCCTTTATTAGAGCTTCAACAGGGACACAGGGAGGTGGCCGTGGAAGAAAAAGAAGTGAGAGTCACTTGTGTCTGAGAGTCCCACATTAGCATTACTGGGTGGAGTGGGTGCAGGTGACACCCTAGGCCAAGGGAGTAGAAAACCCTAAAGTCTCAAGGCTGGAGAGAGTTTAGTTTATTTGAGGAACAGAAAGGAGTCAGTTACTAATTCATGCTAGAAAGTCGAGCCTTATAGATATCACCACAAAAATAATTGCTGTCATATGTTGACCAACTACTTGTCCAGACATGGTGCTGAGCACTTTAGAGGTGTAACCTTATTTAATCCTCCCCTTTCTATGACATAGGCAGGATGGTTGTCTCCATTTTACAGATAAGATACTTGAGACACAGAGAGATTAAGGTACTTACCCAAGGAGGACACAGTTTAAAAGTGTCAGAGACTGGATTCAAACCTAGGTCTGTCAGTCTGCAGAGCCCCTACTGTAAACAAATAGTGAACTCCAGGACCCAGCCCACCTGGAAGATGCTTCTAGAACTTACTCTGTGTTTCATAACACTGTAGCATGTGAGGTTTTACTTTAGATCAAAAAAAAAAACAAGAAACCCATAACAATAACAACAACAAAACCAACCCACAATTTTTTGTTAGTGATGTCAAGCAATAAAGGAAATTGCTTTTATATATTATTAATTTTGTACCTTGTTTCCATCTGCTTTTACACTCAAAGAAAAATGAATAGTTTTTTGTTTTTTTGTTTTTTGGTTTTTTTTCAAATAACCTGCTTGTCCCATTTTTCTCTCCAAATAAAAGCAACAGAAGACTTTTCTACTTACCCCTGGCAATTGATGATATCCTCCAAAGATGCTCTTGAAGAAGGACTAAACTATTTTTGGTGTATCTCATGCTGGCAGTGATGATAAAATGGGAATTGAGTTCATTCTCTACAACCCTCCACAATTCATCCACTTCATCCCAGGAGGAAGCCCCAGAGTAGCCTCCAAACATCCCAATGTGTTTCCAGCCCAGATACTGGAGACTTTTCTGGAGCACGTCACCAATGTCCTGCTTGGGTGGCACAAGTTTCACACAGGTGTCACACAGCTTTTTGGTTTGTCCAACAAAGTCAAACATGGAGATGTTCCACTCAGAGGCCAGCAAACCGATAACCTTGAAAATAACCCAGAGGATGTCTTTGCATAATTGAGTTTATGTACACGCAAACCCCAGTGTAAAACATCTGCATAAACCTCAGATTCTGTGAGTCTATGGGTCATACCGGGCCCTCGCTTTTGTAATGTTGATGACAACATCAGTCTCAGAGAACAAAGATAACAAAAGCGAGCATTAATTGAGCACTTACTATGTGCTGAGCACTCTAACAGCTTACATGTATCATTTCAACTTTCACAACATTTCTCGGTGTTATTATTACCCCCTTTTTAAGATAAAACAGGAAGACACAGAGATGTAAGTTACATAGCTAGCAAATAGTGGAGCAGGGTTGGAATTCAGGTAATATGGTTCCAAAGCCCACACTCATAGTTACTCATCCTCTCTTTCTTTCTTAATTTCTCCCTTATTCATTTTTCATTCATTTTAATTAGGGGCCTATCACATACAAAAAACTTTGGAGACCTTGCTCTTAAAGGAGCTCATGGTTTATTACAAGAACCAAGGTATATAAAAAATAGCTTTAAAGTGAAATATATTCTTTAAGTTGTATAGATAATAGATTTATAGGCATTTAGAGAAGTAAACAATTACTTTTGATTGGGGAATTAGGGATATGGAGGGCAGAGATGAAGGGATAAAGAAAGGCTCCATGACATTTGATATTAACTCTTAGGTAGCCTTTGAACAGATAGAAATGTGTCAGATGGGGAATTCCAGGGAAGACTGGCTCAAATTTAAATGTAAACTTAGTTCTGCAGCTCCAACTAGTGATAGTTCTACAATATTGTTGAGAGCAAGACCTGTGCTGCTCCTTCCTGTTCACCTTTTGCATCAACACTTTTCAGGTAACATGACACCCAAGGACACCAACAAAACTCATCCCAACAACCAAACAAATACAGGTCATTCATTTCCCTCATTTTCTTACTGTAGGTAAGGTAGTTTGCCATACTTGATTCTTTCTCATTTACTTGCATTTTCACTGATTAATTTATTCTACGCACCAAAGAAAAGCCTACTCAAACAATTGATAGTTTTCTATTTAAAACCATGCATTTGTTTCTTCTTAATTTCCTAAGCCTTATAGCTTAGGAACATGAGAGTAAACAATAAGAGTCTATATGCAACAGCATCAAGTTCAGACAATCAACAAGAGGAGGAAGAGGGTAGGTGAATGAACAATTATTGATCTGAAAGGCTTTCTGGCCAGATATGGTGGCTCACGCCTGTAATCCCAGCACTTTAGGAGACCGAGATTGGTGGATCACCTGAGTCAGGAGTTTGAGACCAGCCTGGCCAACATGCTGAAACCCTATCTCTATTAAAAATACAAAAATTAGCTGAGTATGGTGGGGCACTCCTGTAATCCCAGCTACTAGGGAGGCTGAGGTGGGAGAATCACTTAAACTTGGGAGGCAGAGGCTGCAGTCAGCCGAGATCATGCCACTGCACTGCAGCCTGGACAACAGAGCAATACTGCATCTCAAAAAGAAAAGAAGGAAAGAAAGAAGAAAAGAAAGAAAGAAGAGAAAGAAAGAAAGAGAGAAAAAGACTTTCTAAAGAGAATGTTAACTCTTCTAATTATATAGTCTAATTGCATCTCAAAAATGGTATTCAAGATCTACACGGTTATTATTATAATAATATGACCCTTGCCAGGAGATTATTCAAATCTGTACCATCATCTTGAAGGCCACCCCTTCCAATGGAAACTCAAAGTTTCCAGAGGCTATATATATTCTACCTCAGTTGCTTCTGGGCATGCTGGTCCAAACAGGGCAGAAATCTGTTCTTTCTGGACCTGGTTGTTGCAAATAGCAAGAGACTCCTTGGTGCTGCAGGCTGAGTTGGTGTAAGTGAACTCCCAGCTGAAATTTCCAAGGTCCACTAGCTCTGAGTTGACCTTGTCCAAGGCAATCTGGAGGCCTGCACCCAACCTTTGCATGCTGAATGGATGGGAGATGTTCCAGGGGGCCTGGAAGCCTACAGTGAGTTTAGCAGCCTCAAGGCAAGTCACCAGCACACTGGCAAAGAGCATCAGAACTGGTGTTGGGTGGTACCCTGGCATTCAATCCCTGAACAGAGCTCAGACTCAACTGGGGCCTCAAGACCTGTTTTGAGAGCCATGGATGGCATCTAACACCTGTATCACTGCAAAGCTATGAGAGGCTCAGCCTCCTGATTACTCCTGCCAGGAACTTATATGACAGTGTAGAGTTCCCTGAGGATCACAGCTTGCTTTCTATTCAGTGCCATTAGTTAACCAAAACTCTCCCTTTTCAGAGTCTGTCTTAATACCATCTAGAAGCAGCAACCTTGCAGAAGGAGGCCGAAGCAGCTAGTCAGTAGGATCCTGGTGATTGATCCAGTGATATGCCTGACAAACTTCATGTTCCTGGGCAAGTCACATGATCCCTCTGTCCCTCTCCACCAGTAAAATAAGAACCATGGAAACTACTCAAATGGAGTCAGATGGCCCGGGCTGGAATTCTGACTCCACCACACATTAGTTGAGTGACCTAGGACATATTACTTCCCCTTTCTATGCCTTCTTCTCCTGCTCTGTAAAACAGGGATAAAACTGTAATGAGGTCTTCCCCTAAGTGATATGGTAAAGACTAAAAGAGATCATACAAGACTAGCCCTTGGCAAAATATCTGGGCAAAGAGAGCCAGTCCATCAATGGTAGATTTGACAATGGTGTTGATGACGACGATGATCCCAGTAATAGTGATGATAATTGTCACTCGCTGATTCCATCTTCTAGGACATTTTTATGAAATAAGTAAGCTTATGGCTATAAGGTTTCCTGACAAGTTGGCACAGTCTGTATCCCTCACCCAGGCTTTTAGGGTGCTACTGATTGGTTATTGATGCATGAAATACTAACCCTCCCTCTACACAGGTCAGGGCAAGGAGCTGGGGGCAGCTCTTAATTGTCTGAAATATCACAGGGATGACAGGACCCTTGGGAAGCCATTGCTACTCCCAAGTAAGATGGCCCAGCTATTAGCCAGGAAAATCCACATGAGTATAAAGGGTTGAATTCCCACCTACTGTGGGCTTGCTTTCTGATTACTCTGGCAGGGAAGGAGCTGGCGTCTCACATTCATCTCAGGATTATGTGAGCACAGTCAACTTGCTATGAGTCTCAAGGCTTGATCTAAGGACCACCTACATCAGTCTCTCCTGATGGTTAGAAATGCAGATTCCAGGGCTTCTCTCCAGACCCTCTGAACCAGAATGTTTCGAGGTTGCTCTGGGAATCCATGTTCAACAGGTCCTCATATATCCCTAAGTAGACTGAAGTATGAGAACCCCTGGCAGTCTGAAGTGAGAAGAGGGAAAGAATAGCCAATAGCTATTCTCTACTTATCTTCCTTGAGTAGCAAGCCCCCAGGATGGAATTAAGGAGCCTTAGCTTTGGCCTGTCTCAGAGGGTCACTTCTAAACCCACGGATTGAGGGGTTGCTTCTCTCCAAACCAAATGCATCATAACTGCTTCTTCCCTGACCTGCAGTTTCTCTCTCTCCTCTGCTAGGACAGCTTGGGGTCAATGTGCGAAATCATCTGAGTCTAAAAGCTCACTGGAACCATAAGCAAAATCCCATGAATGTTTTTTGGCTCAGACGCTTACCAGTGTACATGACCCTGGACAAGTCAGTTAAATCTGTGCCTCAGTCTCCTGAATATCAAAATGAGCAGAGTAACACCCCTCCTGGAGGGATGTTATAAAGATACTGTGAGATTGCATAATTACTTAGAATGGTACCTCACATTTATTAGGAATCAATAAGAGAATTCTGTTAATGAATGTGTCATTGCACACGTCATGATCTCAAAACTAGGGCACTGGGAATAATATGTTATCTATGCACTTTGTGTTCCCTCTGCCCTTCCATATGTATCCTTTCTTTGATTTGTATTCCCACACTGGGTAATTTCTGATTCTTTGTGTTTACAGATTGCCTTTGTCCTGAGAATCTTTGAGCCAGGTGACTGTGTGTGTCCTTTTTGGATCCTAACATCAGCACAGTGTTAGGCCTCTAGGCATGCAAATTAATATCAATCATAATAAGTATAAGGATTTTGTATTCTTTTTTTTTTTTTTTTACGGAGTCTCTCTCTGTCCCCCCGGGCTGGAGTGCAGTGGCGTGATCTCGGTTCACTGCAAGCTCTGCCTCCCGGGTTCACGCCATTCTCCTGCCTCAGCCTCCTGAGTAGCTGGGACTACAGGCGCCCGCCACCAAGCCCGGCTAATTTTTTTGTATTTTTAGTAGAGACGGGGTTTCACTGTGTTAGCCAGGTTGGTCTCGATCTCCTGACCTCGTGATCCGCCCGCCTCGGCCTCCCAAAGTGCTGGGATTACAGGCATGAACCACCGTGCCCGGCCTAGGATTTTGTATTCTTAAATGCTTACAAGTGAGCATGGTCAAAACCAGAAGAAAATACCAATGGTGTTCAGTGTTGTTGTGAGTTTGAGAAACAGACATACACTGGCCGGAAGGAATGTTCATTAACAGCAGTTCTTCAATATGCACCAAACCTTAAGAATGTGTGCATATTGGACTCAAAATTCTAATTTGAGGGATTTATTACAAATAAATAAAATCATATGATCAGATTTAACGAGTGTGATTTCTAACAGTCAAAATTTAGACACGCTTCAATGTCCAACAGATGGACCAGGATGAATAACACGTAGTGAATTCACACGACTGAGTGGCATGCAATCACTAAAAATAATATTTTATATACATATTCTCTTAGAAAGATAACCGCAGTGTACTGCTAACTGATGAAGCGCATCATACAACAATATATATTAGTATTCCGTTTTGGTTTTTTTTTTTTTTCAAAAGGAAAGATTACATACAACAAACGATTAAACGTGGCTCACTCTGTGTGACAGAAATTATGGGTGGTTTGTCCTTTGTTTATATTAATTTTCATTTTTTGTCTTAATGTCTTTGCAATAAGAAAGAAAAGTGAATATTTTAATTAAAAATAAACCCTACAGAATTGTACTTCTGGAGGATCAACACAGAAGGTGAAATTCAGCCACCTTAAACCCGCAGGTCAGAAGCACCCCACACTTACAGACACCTGGCTTACCTCTGTAGGCCCTAATTATTCTCTGCTGAGCTCAGCCCCTTCCATTTCTCCATTGCCCTCAGAGACAGAGATGCAGCGGTCCAGGTAATGGCCATCATGAGCTGGAAAATCATTGCTGTAGTTACTAGCCCAATTTGTGTGATACCTTTGATTGGCAGGAATGGAAAGGCTGAGGTTAAAACCAAGTTGGGGGGCGGTGGGTGTTGTAAGGACTGTGGCTGTTGGAGGGGGCACACTGTCCTCTACTTTGCTTCCCAGCCCTCCTTCCTTCTAGGGGATTCTTAGGCCTAGAAGTTACCCGTATGATTGGGAGAGGCCACGTTATTTCATCGGATGATGCTTTGGAACAGAAGTTGTCTGTGCTTGGCCAGCAGAGGTTCAAAGTGCAGCCCCCTCTGCCTGGGGTAACTCTTTAATTCCTTGCTACTTTATCCCATCTCTGTTTCCTGAACAGACTATTACTGAGGGAGGGTTCTTTCTGCCTGATTTGTGGCTTCCTCAATAGCGACCAGCCTAGTCCATAAACCAGATGCAAGGCCAGCTGTTCAGCATCCGAGATCAGATAAGATGAGCTGTATCCAGGATGGTGGGTTTTAGTAAAACCTCTAGCAACTTTCTAGCTGCCCTTCCTCCAGCTCCCCCTTTCTCCCTGCCTCACTTCAATTTCTAAATCAGTGGCCTGATCAAGTTTAGGTGAAAAGTAAAGGTTTGGCATGTTTGTGCTCTACTTCTCCCCCAGGGAAAAGGTGAGAGGCAGAAAGAGGTGCTTGACCTAAGTGGAATGCAATGCAGTGAGCCTGTGATCACGTTGCGGGAGAGGCAAAGGGAGCCCCTACTGGTGTGTTCCTGGAAAAGGCTTCAGCAAGTCCGTAAGACTACCTGAGCCTCAGTTTCCTTATCTGTGAAATGAGAAAAAGGCAGAGGGCAGCGAGCTCTGACCTTACCAGCCTCCTGCCCTAAGATACTAGGCATCTGGTGGATTCCCAATGAATGGAAGACAGTAGTCCTGGGGGCCCTGCTGGGTGATAACAGCAAGTTTCTCTACAGTTTGGGCTTACAGGTTCCTAACGGGAACATTCCTGAAGGTAGAGCACACCGTGTACTCACTATTCCAGAAATAAGAGCAAGTAAACGTGGCTGTAACCTGTCAGGATGTGAACTGCAAACTTCCCCTGTATTCTCAGCTCTTACAAACAGCTGTGGTGCCAGTTCTGAAGATGCAGCTTCTACTAAGCAAAAGTTTGAGGAGCCAGAGGAAAGCAGAGTTAAGATCAAACTGGAAGATCGTGGCTCTTAAGGCTGCAACAAAACAAAATCCCTGGGATGCAAATCCTGTTAGTAATCACGCACACAGGCACCCACGACTCCCACAAGGCTGAGGATGAGGTGCGGCTTTGGCTGACTGACAAGAACGCTCTGGTCTTGTTTCTGAAAACGTTTGTGCCAAGAGAAGAAAATTCCTCCCTCCTAGGAGCCCTGCCTGTCTTCTGTGTGCTTCAGTCGTCTGCTATTTATCCTGTGTGGCTGAAATAGACTTTCTCATGACCGTGTCCTAAAGGAATGAGTCTTTGACACCTGAGCAAACTTGGGGTTTTAAGAAATACTTTAAACAACCAAGCGTTCTCCCAGATATCACTATAA